TGCAAGGTAGAATATTTTTGGTTGTAAGTTTTTCCCTTTCAGCATTTTAAATATATCATACCATTCCCTTCTGGCTGTAAAATTTCTGCAGCACATCAACTGGTAGTCATATGGAGCTTCCTTTATATGTAACTATTTGTTTTTCTCTTGCTGTCTTTAAGATATTCTCTTTAATTTTTGCCATCTTAATTATAATATGTAGTGTTGTGTATTTCTTTGGGTTCATCTTGTTTGGGGCTCTCTGTGCTTCCTGGACCTAGATGTCTGTTTCCTTCTCCAGGTTAGGGAAGTTTCCAGTCATTATTTCTTCAAAAAAGTTTTCTGCCCCTTTCTCACTTATTCTGGGACCTCTATAATGCAAAAGTTGGTACACTTGATTTTGTCCCAGAGGTCTCTTAAACGATTATCATTTTTGTTTTTTAATTATTTTTTCTATTCTGATTAGGTGATTTCCACTATTCTGTCTTCCTGATTGCTGATTCAGTCCAGATTTTAAGGATGATGCTCCTGCAGAGGTGTCTAGGGAGATGGCAGGAGGTCTTTTGACTTAATACATAACTTTATAAAATATTTTTAAAGGATGCTTGTAATTCCATTGCTCATAGATGCAAACAAAAATGCTATTAGTTGTTTTTAATTTTTTTAGACCAAAATTCTCCAGTATAGGAACTGGAATGATTTTGCCTTCTACTAATGAACCATGTAGGGCAGTTTTTATTTTATTTTATTTTATTTTTTGTTTTTTTGTGTATACAGGGCAGTTTTTAGATTTGAGACCTGTAGAACTGCAGGGCAATTACTGTATATTTCAGGAAGGAGGCATGAACTACAAATTGTTTCAAACCATTGAAATAATGACCACAGGAAGTGAGCATTCGTTAAAGCCCTATATGGTGTTACATTTCAGAAAAGAGCTGGGCTGGAAAATGAAACCAGCTTCTCTTCCCACTGCTGAATTTTCCTGAATTTCCTACAAGCTGCTTGGAATTTTACAAACAAGTCACAGTTGATAAAATAAAAGAGCAACAGAACTGAGTGTCTGTGATGTAGACCCTAGGGGCAGCCAGCAGGAAAGGACCACTATCTGCCCTTTAGAGTTCTGTAACCAAAACCGATATAATTTAAATTTTTTCCTTTGGTCCTTTAAAATAAATAAGAATTAGCTAAGGACCTACAGAAAGGATTATCAGGGTAACCTGAACTTAGACTGCCTTGGGACATTTTTTGGAGAGTCTAGTTTCTTCTTACGACTTTTGTTTATTCACTCAAAGAAAACATTCACTGTTTACCCACCATGCACCAAGCCTAAAGCTGGGCATTGATGATTTGAGGACATGCTCTCCACCCATGAGGAACTCCAATAGCAGTAGGTGAGAGATAGACCTGGAAACAGACACTTTGAATATGGTGTGCCAAGGGCAGTGTAAAGACCAGCACAGGGGGCTACATGAGCACATAGTCTGTGAGATCACAGGGACACGAGTGGGAGCTTGCCACTTGGTAGTTGTGTTTTATTGAGGAGAAACTTTGTAGAACTCTACTTCAGTACAGCTAGTCTTAGGAGTGACAGGAAGAACTCTCTGAGAAGAGACTGGAGAGGTAGGCAGGGGCTAGATCATCAAAGCCTTGTTTGCCAAGCTAGGGAACTTCAAACTTATCCTGAAAGCAAAAAGACTTATTGCAGGGTTTATGCAAGGTCCCCAGACCCACTAGCAAGGCGGTTACTGCTCAGTCAGTGATAGAATTTGCCCACGGTCCCCTGCCCATTCCGTGGCTTCTCCCCCTGAGCAGTAGGCGCTTCTTAAGGAGGCATTTCGCAGTTCCTTTGCACTTCCCACCCAAGGACTTTTGAACCCAAGGTTAACGGAGATGATGAGAGAGGAAAAAAAAGAGGGGAATTGAGGCCAGTGACCCTTCCCCAAAGGCTAAGGTAAGTCCTGTGTTAAAGCTAGTGACCTTAAAAATATAATAAATGTATGTTTCCATTTTGCAATGCTTTTAAAAAAATATTGTGTGCTCAGATGGCACCTTTCATCATGAAGAACTTTGGCTTAGTTCCAGGCTGATTCTGCTGGCACAGAGAGCTCTGAGATCATACCCTATATTCAGTGCACAGAAGAAATATTTCATCTATCTCTGAAATAAAGAGGGGGAAATGGAGCATATTTGAACTGTTTTAGGGCAAGACCATACCAGGGTGAAGAGTGAAGGACACCCTCTCTATTTGGATTTACAAAAAGGTACTATTAATTCTAAGTACTTAAGTGGCATTTTTTTTTTCATTCTCAGAGTGTTTCACAATAAACTAAGAAGGTTGCATAAATCTGAAGGCAATCTCCTATTTCAAAGATATGTAAATGAAGGCAGATAGATCTTATAATTTACCTAAGACTACTTTAAATTAAGAAAAGAAAGGAGGGAGGCAAAGGGGAAACAAGTAACTCCCAACGTAGCAGGTTGTAACCCAGGAGTTTGAGCTCTCAGAACTGAATTTAATGCACACCCAGGCCAAATATAATTCTCCAGGATGGAAATGGTCCAGGATACCAGAGCAAACATTCTCTACCTTTGCCAAAGAGCCTGAGGCGGTTTGATGACAAGTAGTCACAACCTCATTTCTATTTCTCAACTGAAAGAAAGTTAAGGCCAGCATCATATGACAGGCACTTCCCACCACAGCCGGGCACTGGTTCAAGCCCATATGAAGGAAGTGTGCTTTCCCTTGATTCATCGTTGCCTCTTGCATCACTGTTATTCTTCAGAGGTCTCCTATTCAAAGGTTTATTTGTTGGATAGTTGGGTCATACAATTTTAGGTGGCAAGGTTGAATCACAACTTCACTCCATGTGCCAGTCTTGAGCATTAGATTATATACTGTGCTGCTTCCTCACCTTATCTCCCAAAATCTTAGCTGTGGGAAAGGCCTGGATGATTACTTTGTGTATTAAATACTGAAACTCCATCACCAAATAATGGGTGGCAAAAGCTGCCGTGGAACTCTGAAAACCATTCTTTTCTGCACTTCCTGTCTTCACCTTTATTTTGTCTGGGAATGCACAGGGACACCTCTGAACAAAAATAAGCCAACTTTCCCTTGACTGATTGTTCTGTCTTTTGAGTTTTCAAATGTGAGTACTTCTGGCTCTCAGATATGGTGAAGTAAAGAGACTGTTGGGAAGCCAGTCACAAATTAGTTGATCTTCTAGCATCTTCTACTAGAGGAATGGTTCAGGGCATTCAAATTAACAGTGTGCTCTGCCCCAAAGCTGATCTGGTTTCTAAATCACATTTGCATTTCAGAAATGTAAGAAAGAAAGCACGTAAAAATTCTGATGTGTTTTCTTAGCTCAACCTTGTCCATTCATTCTTACTGGCTCTTTTTAATCCATCACTCTAAACCCAGTCCATTCACATTTAGACTCCGTGCTCCCAGGAACTCTCTTAACTCAGAGCACCTTTAAGGCAGAACCACTTTAGGAGGTAAAGGGTGAAACGTGGCAACTCTTTCACAGGCAGGAATCACTATAGCAGAGTCACTCAGGGTAGGAGGTTTTGCTAGGACTTAAATCAGGTTGTCAACCCAAACACAATGGGCTTTGTTAACTTCTGTGTAAAGAGGAAATGGAGCAGTTTTTGGCATCCTCAGATTGTATCGTAGGGTATCCAGAATGGCAATTCCAGGCACAACCTTCATGAGACACAATTCTGCTTTTGGCTATTCACTGTTACCCAGAAGGTTAATTAGCTTTCAGAAAGACACGGAACTATCTGGCATTTTCATACTGAAGTCTATCACAGTTTTAAACTTGCGGGGAAGGACTTGGGTGTATGTGGAGGGGTCTGTCAGGGAAATAACATGGAGACCTTTTGGCTAGGGATTCTAACACCTGTGATTCATCTCAGAAATCACTGTAATTTCAAGACAGTTTTTCCGGCTTGGGCACGAGCTGAGGGGCCTGCTGTGGCGCCCTACTATTCGTTTCGGTTACCTTGGGTTCAAAAGTCCTTGGGTGGGAAGTGCAAAGGAACTGCGAAATGCCTCCTTAAGAAGCGCCTACTGCTCAGGGGGAGAAGCCACGGAATGGGCAGGGGGCCGTGGGCAAATTCTGTCACTGACTGAGCGGTAACGGCCGTGCTAGTGGGTCTGGGGACCTTTCGTTATTTGGTAACTTGCCATGGGGAACGGGGAGAGCTGTCCCTGCGCAGTAAAGAGGTCTGTGGAGAGGGACTCTGCCCGAGGACCTCCTGAGGACCAGCAGGGCGCGCGTCCCGCCAACTGACAGCATGCGCCCTCCTCCGTCCACTCCCCTCCCCCGCGGCCGGTCTCTGAGCAGAGGCATCTCGCGGCA